TATATCGCGACAGCCTTTTCCTTATCGATCTTTCCGAGGTCGATAGCACAAACACGTGCAATGAGAAGGACAACAGCAAGTACTGGGGGTGCTGGACAAGTAATATGCCTCCTCGAATGGTTCGAAGTGCTCTTGCTCGTGCGTTAAACATCCGCTTCCAACTTCCAGTCCCCAGTGCAGAGGCTATGGTTGTGCGAAGTGCGACCAAGAGGAAGAAGGATGCCCAGGAAGAGACATCTATCATTGTCGATTCTTTACGCGCAGTTACCAACCTGATTACTGGGTTGAACAAATCTCAGACGTCCCAAACTGAGAGATCTCGCTCAGCAAGCCCAGCTGGTCCGAAAATCTTGCGTCGTAAGCTCAGCTTTCGATCTGCAAAGCGTCCTGACTCATTAGAATTCGTATGCCGTGGAGACTCACCACCACCACAGCCGAGAGAACCATTGGATACATTAGAGGTTGTCCTCGTGAAGAGTGATGTAGACACTGAAGTACATAGCATGACGTTGGACATGGTAGCGGTGTGCAGTAGCATCCCTGTATGCGGAAGCCTTGAGTACCATCTGGAAATCGACGGAATGCGAAGGCTTTGGGCTAAGCGAGAGAAGGGGAAGTGGCTGGGTAGTGAGCCTGATGGTAACAAATTGCTTCGTGGTATGTCACCGCCGTGCTCACAACTCAACATGAAGACTCACATGTACCAGATTTAAAGGCCTTAGGACAGCAGTCCACAAAAGCAGATATCACGCACGTTCATGGAAAGCACAAGAAAAGCAATGAGAAACCTACGATACGTGCGGATGTCCTGCATAGAGAACGGACACTGCCAGCCCAGCAACCTACTAGCAGCAGACCCAGCTTAGATGGACAACTGCAACATCGAAGTGCCTCTAAAACAAGACCATCCAACGACGGCATCGTTGCAAGAAAGGTCAAAGAGATGGAAAACTTGTCCAGAATCAAGCTCTTGAAGGGCAACAAACAGCCGCCGACCGTAGAGGAGCTCCAACAGATCGCCGCTGATATTAGGAGGGGTGTTTACTAGGAAATTCGTTTAGTCCCAAGATGGTACGAGCCAGGTGCTCGGAAATGTAGTATAATTCATTGTGTTCGTTTTATTTCTACGTCTAACATCTATGCTCTGGTCGTGTCCAATGAAGTGCTGGGCGTTCGGTGTGCTGTGTTGTCTAGGCCTTTCCATCCGAGAACTGAACGACAGCCCACTTGCCACTCCATGCCCACTTCCTCGACCCACTGTCTCCACCACCCCCTTCCATAGCTTTTATGCGCTCATCTTCCCCGTTAGCGAGCCCGACCACGACGTCGGCCTTGCAGGTGCGGAGCGCGAGAACGCGGAGACCTGAGCCCGGGCCCATGGGCCCGATAGCGTCGGTAAACGGCGTAGTAGCAGGCCAAGCAGCCTATTGTTGATCAGTAAATAGTGTGAACAACAGAGACGAGAGCACTTACATCAGCAGTCAGCTTGCGATAGTTCAGATCGCCTTTGAAGATGACAAGCTCACTTTCCTTGAGATCTTCATAAAGTTCCGGCTCTGTCTTGGGAAGCCGCCAATAGCTACCGCCTGCAGTCCAAAAGTCGTTCGGCCGCAGCATCAGCTGACCCTCGGCATGCAGAGTGCTCCAATGCTGGAAAAGGAACTGCAAAGCCTCGCTTTCCGCTTCCGACAATGGCACAGCTTCCTTTCCAGCGTGCTTCTCATCTTCGGTGAGCGCACTGTAGAAGCTCTGGGGGTCGGCTAATGCGGAGAGAAGAGCGCCGAAGTCGGCTGGTAGAACATCTGAGACGAACCAAGGGATAGACTTGGGGTGGAACACAACGTTTGTCGCAAGGCCAGAAGCTATGAGATAGCCGGCGAGGATCAGATCAACAAAGAGCTCGAAACCTGCGTTGTCCAGCACGATATCGACGCGGCGCTCTTTCTTGCCCTCTTTCTGAGCTGATGTGAGTATCTCGAATGCCTTGCCTAGGTCGTTGACCAAAATATTCTTCTCAGAGTTCTTTCGTGCCTCGGATCCTTGCAGCTTCTGGATATCCTCGTATGAGAGGTTCGTCAGGAGCGACAGATCTGTCGCATTGCCCCAGAGGCAGATCTCGCACATCTCTATGAAGAGGACCTTCTCGGCGGCCTCGAGCTGCTCCTGTGTCTCGGCACCTTTTATTGTCTTCTTCTGCTCGAGCTCCGTGACGATGTCCTTGTAGCGCGCGGCGAGTTCGAGAACGGCGGGACGGGAGGATTTGAATGTGGCCATCTTCTGGCGGGCGAAGAGGTCGTACGACCGCCAATTCTTGGTCTGCTTAAAGATGCTCGAGATGCGTCTTCCTATGGCCATGAGCATGAGCCATGGGACGGCAAGGGTCGACATACCTGTAGAGATAGCACTCCGAGTACAGCCATGGCACATTGTGCCACTTAGGATTGCCCCTTGCAGCCAACTCCTTGTTGTAGGCGTCGACATCGCGCTCGCCGTCGTGGGGAATCGGGGTCAGCTCGCGGTCGTGTTGGAGTTCGTATTTTAACTTGGCAAGCTCTGCAACAACCCATTTGCCTTCGGTGATGGCCGCTTCGTCTTTGGTGTCGTGCAGGGAGCGGTGCACGTCGTCAATGCCTTGGGTGATGATAATGGGCCATCGCGAGCGCGCCGACGTGTGGGCAAACGACGTAGCGTCGCTGGTGCTGTACTGTTCTATTGCGCGTAAGTCGCAGTACGGTTGATAGCGTGCGTAGAATACTCACGTGCAGGGAATGTATCAAACTCCATCTTGTCGCTGACTTGTTGTCGTTGCGTGTGGGGGAGGCTTTTGATGCCAATGCCTCAAACATGACGATTTGTACAGGGGTCTGGGAGCGAATATCTTGCCAAGCTTCGACGCTACCCCTCCATACCTCATCTTTACCCTACTTTGCGCCTCACTACCTAATGACAGACCAATACCCACAATCGCTGGCCTCGCTTTTGATGCAATGGATCGGGAAAATCATTAAATAATCTATGATCGCTGAGCTATGTAACTGCGATACTCATCGGCTTTCGGACGCTGGGGTCAAAGTTTGTCCAGCTTTGAAGATTATGACTGCATCAGAGAGCAGCTCTAATCGAAAGCCTCAAACAAGTGCTCACTGACAGTGCGATGCTCAGGAGAGAATCGTAATCGGGCGACGATTGGCTCTAAGCTCGGGTGCAGAAAGAAACGTGTCTCCTAAGGCCATTACTATGTTCGAAGATGAACCCCAGCTAATCGGTTGCTTGCAATCCCAATCTGACAACCGGACGCGGTCTTTGTTCAAGGCCAAGAGACTGTATTGCGCATGGGACTTGGGGGTGCAGGCTGTTGACGCAGGGTCCACCCAGGGTACCGACGAATCAATGGGGCAGGGTGACATTTAAACTATGACGCGTTTTGCTGGACATGTTCTATGTTTCTGCGCTACCTAAACGTCAACAAGCAATTCTCAAAGTCGCCTTCCCAGCAGAATGGAGCTTGCTTGTGTGTAATTTGACACGGCACCTTCACAACTTCCCAATATTATTCACACGACTCAGTCGCGCCATCCTATGAGCGTCTACCGCTCCATTGCCTGCATCAGTGCTCGTAGCACCATCCTCTTCAGGCCTCAGCGCTTCATCACACCCTTCGTACGCACGATGGCCACGATACCGAATGGTGACCTCAACAACACCTCAGCCGAACGGGTTCGAGCTGAAATCGCCATTGATCCAGCGTACCAACATCTCTCACTTGCGATACCCCCCTCCGACGACGATGCCGAAATCCGAAAATCATACAGACCATTCATACTCGAGGGGGATGATGCAGAACAAGACTGGGTTTCTCAGTTGGAGCTGAGTACTGTGTTAAGAATGGTAGACACACAAGTGCTCCAACGGGGTGATGATAGGCTCAGAGTCGTAGTTTTGTATGGGAGCATGCGGCAGAGGTAGGGACCACGTTCGATCAACCTGATACTCAAGGCTGTCTTCTCGCATCTGCTAAGTCCAAGTAGATCGTACTCCCGCCTGCTAGCATACGAAGCCAGCAGAGTACTTTTCCGACTTGGCTGCGATGTGCGCATATATGATCCTACTGGTCTTCCCGTCAAAGATGACGTGCAACATACGCATCCCAAAGTACAAGAGCTACGCGACTTGAGTAAGTGGAGCGATGGACATGTATGGATATGTCCTGAGCAGCATGGAACCTTAGTGAGTAGCCACCCATAGCATCCCATGTCTGCCAGCGTATCGACTGACAATGCTCCTTTTCCAGACGGCCGTCTTCAAGAACCAGATCGACTGGATACCCCTCTCGACCGGATCTGTGCGCCCGACTCAGGGCCGAACCCTCGCCATAGCACAGGTGAATGGCGGATCGCAGTCCTTCAACACGGTTAATTCGTTACGCATACTCGGTCGATGGATGCGTATGTTTGTGATCCCGAACCAAAGTTCTATACCCATGGCATACAAGCAGTTCACCGAGGAGGACGCTGGAAGCAGGCTCATGCCTAGTGGTAACAGGGATCGTCTTGTTGATTGCATGGAGGAGTTTGTCAAATACACCATCGTCATGCGTCCGCACTTTGACCTTTTCGGCGACCGGTATAGCGAGAGAGAAGAGAAACGGGCGAAGCAAGCAAAAGAAGTGAACAAGCCTGCCCCAGACACCCAGCATGCAGCGTTGTCGACCAGCGTGGGCCCTTCGAATTGATATTTGCAGTAGTTCAGATGTTTGGCGGGTTCTCCACGAGATATGGAAACATAGATGAGATTTGGATAGAGGTTGTAGGGCAGCATACGAAAGAGAGGCTCCAAAGCAAGCTTGGACTAGCGTTGTCGATCTTCTTGGGGTAATGACACCCCGCAATCGAACAAGTGACATACCATTTACCGGTATAAATGTTGGTGCCGCAGCTATGAACGATACATGCGATAAATCGCATCCTATGCGATAATCTAAAGAGACTGCAATTTTATTAATGCACCTCTGCGCTTCACCACCGACTCCTTCCGATGATGCAGACATGGCTGAGCTAGCTGTTGCCGTAGCACGCCCACCTCCAGATGGTGGATATGGCTGGGTGTGTGTGGCAACGTGTTTCACCATCAATTGTTTTACCTGGGGTACTGTCTCCGTAAGTCAGATTACATAACTCCCATGTCCCTTATCTTCACGTCTCCTGCTAAGCTACTCGCTGCAATAGGCTTATGGCATCTACCTATCGCACTACCTAGTGGATAATGTTTTCCCTGAAGCATCTTCCTGGGACTATGCATTCATTGGAGGCTTCAACTTTGCCATCGCTATGCTCCTTGCACCTTTCGTCACTGTCTTCTGTCGCAAATTCGGTATTCATGTTATCATGTGCTGTGGACTGGTCTTCCAGCTTGGTGGCTTCATTGCCGCCTCATTCGCAACTCGTATATGGCAGCTACACATCTCGCAGGGCGTCTTAATTGGCTCTGGGATCGGTTTCTTATATATACCCTGCCTCCCAGTCCTTTCCCAGTGGTTCGATCGAAGACGAAGTTTAGCCAATGGTATCAGTGCGGCAGGGTCTGGTGTTGGCGGTGCGGCGTTTGCATGGGGTACTGAAGCTATGATCCAGCGCATGAGCATCAGCTGGGCCTTGCGCATTACCGGTATCGTCGCCTTCGTCGCCAATGCTACTGCGATAGCATTCATACGTGATAGGAATAAGGCCATTCGACCATCTCAGCTTGGATTTGATACCAAACTTCTCCGGCGTTACGAAGTACTACTGCTCCTCGCTTGGATCTTCATCAGTATGCTGGGATACGTTGTCCTGCTCTTCTCATTGTCTGACTTCGCGCTATCGATCGGGCTCTCTAGATCACAAGCCACCGATATGATAGGATTTCTGAACGTCGGTACTGCTGTTGGGCGACCATTGATCGGCGTGTTGAGCGATCGATGGAGCAGAGTCGACACAGCAGGGGCTCTGACTTTGCTGTGTGGGATCTGTTGCTTCGCGTTCTGGTTGCCTGCGGCATCATACCCACTGACTGTATTCTTTGTCATAATTTGCGGCGCTGTTGTTGGAGTATTTTGGATGGTAAGTCGGATCTTGCGTTTCACTCCAGCTTCAAGAGACCCTCTAACTAGTGTTTGCTAACAGACAATCGGTCCACTTTGCGTTGAGGTGGCAGGCATCAAGAACTTGCAGTCGCTGTTGTCTCTGTCGTGGATGGCAGTGATAATTCCAGTAACAGGTATGCATGCTTCCAAAATTTGTTTGAGAACAGTCTAACAAAGTGCAATAGTTTCTGAGGGAATCGCTCTCAAGTTGAGGCGTCCAGCATCCTCACGAGAGTATCTCTATACCCAGATCTTTGCAGGTCTCTCGTATGTCGTAGCCAGCGGCTTCATGTTCCAGCTTCATAGAGTGAAACGACGCCAAAAATCTCCCACTCAATAGCGTATCAGGTTACCTCGGATCCTCCGTGGTATTCGCAGGGGTTTTTAGCGATATATAGTGCATCTCCCAGTAACCTTCTCGCGGATTTGCACTCAATACAGATTCAAATCACAGCTTGACATCTAACTTTGTTCTATCGTAGCCTTTCGGAATTCGCCCAATTACGATAGATAATGCTCCCGTATACAGTGTCGTGAGGCTTGGTGATGTAGCGCGAGAAATTTCCATTGTCGGTGATTTCATGATCGTAAAATCTCTAATATGCGGTCAAGACACGTACTCTCTCCTGTGAATGATGGAGAAGTTGCGCCAGGTGGCGGGCCGTACAAACTTGAAGAGAGCGACGCGTATCAATTCCCGCAGCAGAGATTGACAGAGTTGGCTGCATACTTGTCTTGATGAACAGGTCAGGAGTCGTCATGACATGGATTAGTTGAAGTACGAAAGCACAAGCTGCTGAGGGACCAATCTCCCTTACAGATACAGGGTCTAAGAAACTGACCAATAGGTCGGGCGCACCTTTGATCAGAGCAGCTCCATCATGATCACGTGCTAAACTCCGCCTTGAAGAGCGTGGAAAAAATGTTTCAATGAAGACTAAACGAATATAACAACTCTATCTACGATTTAATCATCTTTGTGGCCTTGTAACGCATCAGCACACTGGACATGTACCCATGCTCGCGTTTTTGTTGAGAATTGTTGAGTGATAGTTCGGCAACGAATGCTGTGAGCTGAGCGCGATTAAGTCCTTGGTCGTTGCGCATACGTTCAGCGCAGTTGGGCTTGGGAGACGATCAGCCGATAGAATCCCAGTCACATCGAGTGGAAGATACTGTGAGACAGTATGTTCTCCCCACCGTCCCTCGTGGTCGAACCACGTACACTATCGACGCAAGGATATATGGAGGTCGAGAGGTACACGATCGCATTGATTCTGGGCGCCTAAACCATGACGTCATCTGTCAACCTCCCTGTTTGCAACGTCCAAGAATATGAACCAATGTCGCACATGGAAGAAGACACATAGAGCTCGAAGTCCTGCGATCGATACTAACTACCTTTCGTCCATCAACTCCAGAACAAGAGTGTTCTTGACACTACATTCTTTGTCGCCATGACAGCCCAGACTTGCTCTGATCCTTTGCCTATCACCATCACCGCGCATCTCCGCAATGATAGAAGCAGCTGTCTCGCAGGATATCAGCAGACCGGAGTCAAGGGACTGTTGTTGAGGTGCAGAAGAGGGAGGGCAGAAGCAACTGGTAGTGTTGGGACAGTCGGCGTACTCCTTTCCACCAGGTGACGAAGCGGAGACATGATCGAGCATGGCGTCATCCGTCTCTCGAGAATAGTTGAGTGCCGTAGGCTCAGCCGGTTTACAGCAGGTAGGTGGTTTCAAGTCCGGTACTATGCTCGGCTCATGCGAAAGGATAGGTGTTGTTACTGTAGCAAGGTTCTCTTTCTCTGAATCACACGCTGCGTGCTGTATTGTGCTGACAAAAGAGCGGCGAGGGTCCTGAGACTGTGTGTACGCCAATGCCGAAGGGTGAGGTGGCGAGTGCGCCGGCTGCTGAAACACCGCTTGGGCAGGAGCTTGGACTGGAAGCTGCGTCGGAGTTGGTGCGCGAGCCTGCGAGACAGGGGACGCCATGTACCCAAAAGCGCTTGCTGCTGGAATCGCCAAAATAGGTGGCCTCGATACTGGTAAAGCATAGCGATTCGCGGACGAATGGTTCGGAATGCTCGCAGCATCAAAAGAGCGCAAATACGCCTCTATCTCCTCGTGTGCGACACCGCGACTGGACAACAGACTTCTCAAGCGTGCATTTTCATCGGCAACTTTGCGCGCAGCGCGCTGCATCTCCTGCGTTGCTGCGATTCCTTTGGCCTCATACTCCTGAACGCGACGCTGCAGGTCTTGAATAAGTTCCTTGCGCTGATTACGCGAGCGTCGCTGATTCTCCCGAATCCGGATGGAGGAGGGCGTGTCACTACCCTAAGCACTGCTTAGTCATGTCTTACCCCTGGGTCTTTATTCACGATTGGGACAAACCTTTTTCGACATCATGCATCCACTGTGGTGTAGGATTCGCGATATGCATGCAGGAACTGAGGGTGATGCCGCGTGGAGCGGGTGGGGTTTTCCCGGAGCCCCCGACAACAGCGCTAAGCCCTAATGCAGACCTGGTGGTTTTCTGCACCACCGGATGCATATCACTACAATGCGTAGAGCAGTTTCGATGTTAAGCTTTACAAGAGGTCCAAAAGTAGTACTTTATTATTATATATTAAGAACGAAAATAGAAGTTAAAAATAGTTTTGCAAAAAGAAAGTAGTAAGTAAGAAAACAACTATAAAATAGTAGTTTATAAGTATTTTTTAAGAGTAGAAAGACCTATTAGTAAGTAACTATTAAATATGCTAAAGTATATAAAACAACGCTTAGTTCCTTCTAGAGATTAACAGAACTAAGAAAAGTTATAAGTAATAGTTTTTATCTATTAGTTTAAGGCTTCTACTATTATTAGTATACTAGTATTCTATATAATCTTTATAATATAAGCTTTCTTAATATTATAGATTTATTACTACTAATTTCTTTGCATAAAAATAATAATAATGCTAGGCGTAGCGCTTA